GGTCAACCGTCGACTGTTGTCTTACAGTCACTGCTGTGATCGGTCGACTGTTGTCGTACAGTCACTGCGGTGATCGGTCGACTGTCTGCAGAAGGACTTCTACCTCAGTCCCACTGCACCACTGGATGGCAGTGGTTCTAACTTATTCCTCGTTTTCCTTTGATATGAACAAGGTTTTGAACCAACAACTGTGTGGTAGAGCACAGAACCTGTCCTGTCCTGTCCTGTTCTGTCCTGTCCTGTCCTGTCCTGTCCTGTCCTGTCCTGTTCTGTCCTGTCCTGTCCTGCCCTGTTCTGTCCTGTCCTGTCCTGTCGTGTCCTGTTCTGTCCTGTCCTGCCCTGTTCTGTATGATGAATGATCTTTCCTTCCTCAGCTCCTTTGTTTGGTTGGAGAGGCCTTTGACAACTACAGTGACGACGTCTGCGGAGCCGTCGTCAACATCCGCACGAAAGGAGATAAAATAGCTGTGTGGACGTCAGACTACGAAAACCGTGACGCTGTGACACACATAGGGTGAGTGGTGTCTTCATTAGACGACTGATGATGGTGGTGATGAAGATGGTGGTGGTGGTGGTGATGAAGATGGTGGTGGTGATGATGAAGATGGTGGTGATGAAGATGGTGATGAAGATGATGGTGGGGATGATGATGATGGTGGTGATGATGATGATGGTGATGATGGTGGTGATGAAGATGGTGATGAAGATGATGGTGGTGATGATGATGGGGGGGATGATGATGATGGTGATGATGGGGGTGATGAAGATGGGGGTGATGATGATGATGGGGGGGATGATGATGATGGTGATGATGGTGGTGAGGAAGATGGGGGTGATGATGATGATGGGGGGGATGATGATGATGGTGATGATGGGGGTGATGAAGATGGGGGTGATGATGATGATGGGGGGGATGATGATGATGGTGATGATGGGGGTGATGAAGATGGGGGTGATGATGATGATGGGGGGGATGATGATGATGGTGATGATGGTGGTGATGAAGATGGTGATGATGAAGATGATAATAATAATAATAATAATGATGATGAAGATGATAATATTGATGATGATGAAGATGAGAGTAATGATGAAGATGATGATCTCCACAGGAGAGTCTACAAGGAGCGCCTGGGCCTCCCCATGAAGATGACCATTGGCTACCAGTCCCACGCAGACACGGCTACAAAAAGCGGTTCAACCACCAAGAACAAATTTGTGGTTTGAGGTCAGATTGACGCCTCGTTCATTTGTCTTATCTGTCCTCGGTCCATGTGTTTACTTTTGCTGCAAAGACTCTGTGGATGCCATCTAGAGGAAGTTGACGGGAAACCCAGTCCATGACGACGCCAGCACGCCACACGTCTCCATAAACCATGGCACACATACACACCTAATGTTCCACAACACTAACGATGTGAAGTTTTAATGATGAATGACACGCTACAAACTCAATATGTGGAGATTTTACTTGTTTAGTGACGGCAGCCAATCAAAAACATTGTCCTCAATGACATGAAATCTTTTTAATTTATTATATTAATTTTCCTGCATATCGTTAGTTTGTTAGATCTTTGTTCTACGAACCTTTTGCCTTGTACTGTTGCACATCATCGATCTTTGAAAGTATTTCATGACTCATTCATTTGAGTGTTAATATAAATAAAACATTGGTTTTGCAGTTACCACCTGATGATTCCTTCATTGCCACAGGGGGGCAGCAGAGGGAGCGGGAGCCAGTCAAACCGTCTGAGAAACCATAGGTCCACACAGATCTCTGAGAGAATTCTGAGACATTTTCAGTCAAAGACAACGATTTCAGTTTCGTCAAAAAGACAAATATTTATTTTCTGTTGACGATGTCCGATGTTTTCTTGGTGTTGCATTTTGGAGTTTCACTTGTGTCACGATGAATCCATTCCAAGAAGTGTTTCCAGTTGTCCGTTAGTGATGCTACGCCCCAGTGCAACCCTTCTGTTGCATTGCCACTAGGGCGGCGTTAAAATCTCACGGCAGCTGACAAATACAATCACACACTCAGGAGGATGAGGCGTGAAGTGTGACAAGAAAGTTCTTTAGGTTCCCCATGAAGTTCTGACCTCGGCTACCTTTAAAGGACGGCCGCGTCACGACACCTTGAACAAATACAGTTACGGGCCGATCTCTGTAGCTGCTTTGAAAGGAAACATTCTATTCAAGTTTCACAAAATTCATCCTGTACATTTGTGGACCCGACGGACCAATAACAGCAGGTAGAGGTCAGTGTTTCTCACCGTGAGGATGGTCAAATGATGGAGACGTTTGTCTTGTGATGAATCCATCATATCACAAATATCAACAAACCTTCCAGAAGTTTCTGTCTTAGTCCTCTGAACACATTAGTGACCTCAGCTGGTGGATGTGTGTATATTCATGTCACTAACTAAAAATGTTTAGTATTTTCCTGGAGAGCTGTTGTTTTAATAATGTGTTTCTAAGTCCACAGCGACGCTTTGGCCCAGAGGCAATGTCTCTGTCATTGGTGTGGAACCCCAGGGTTCACCTCCTGGGCAAGTTCGAATCCCGGTTAGGGCGGTTGGTACCTTCCAGTGGACTCACCACCCGCAGGAAGGTTTGGTACGGTGCAATGTGATTTGGGTGGCGACTGCTGCCCCCGCGACCCGGTAACGGATAAGCGGATGAAAATGGATGGATGGATGGAAGTCCACAGCGACACCGTGTGGATTTAATGGTTTAATCGACAGACTAAAGTAAACAAAGTTTCTCTGGTCCTCACATGGTTCCCTGGGTCTTCAAGGCCTCCTTGTTTTTCAATCAAAGGCGTCAAATGCATCAATACCTCAATGCCTCCAGCAGGAGGCGGCGTAGTTCGGCAGCTCACAGTCGTTATCAAAAGAGTTTCTAAGAAAAGAAAATATTACTGAGATGAAATTGACGTCACTGAGATGTTGTTAGGTTTTCTTTCAGTCGAGGTCCATCCTCTCCCTGCCCACTGGAGGGAGCTCTAACCCAGAATAAACTGGAGGGTGTCTGAGGCGACCGTCAGCTTTGATGGAAACATTTGTTTATGTTTAGATTAGTTTACCAGTTTAACTAATGGTTTCATTAGTTTACCAGTTTAACTAATGGTTTCATTAGTTTACCAGTTTAACTAATGGTTTCATTAGTTTAGCAGTTTAACTAATGGTTTCATTAGTTTACCAGTTTAACTAATGGTTTCATTAGTTTAGCAGTTTAACTAATGGTTTCATTAGTAGTCCGTCCTACATTAACACTGTACATATACATGTACATATACTTATATACATATTTATTTGGGTTGCAGTAGTACTTGAGAGGCAATGCGACCCCCAAACAGTAAATTGTATTGTATGGTGTACCGTGTACCGTGTACTGTGTACTGTGTACTGTGTACTGTGTACCGTGTACTGTGTACTGTGTACTGTGTACTGTGTACTGTGGCTGCAGTTCTAATTAGACCAGTAGCTGCAGACGTTTGTAAAGATGACTGTTATCATCTGAGCTCGGTGTAGAACGGTGTAGAAGACTCACCCTTCTCCTCGGGGAGCTGTGGGGAGCTGCTCACTGCCCTCCCCCAGCCTCCCCCAGCCTCCCCCAGAATCGATGGCAGGATTGTTAACCCAGATTAAATGACAAAGGAGGTAAAGGGGGGGGGGGGGCAGTTAGTTTTGTTAATCCTGGATTATATTTAAAGCTAACTCTCGGCCATGGCTAACGTAGCTTGTACAGGATACATGGATGTGTATATACATAAGTCTGTGTACATGTGTATATGTGTACATGGAAACACATACACAGTATATACTACATATATATCACCTGGGGTTGGTCCAGTCAACTATGACATCACTGGTTTCTTCAGTTACCAGAACAACACCGAGCTGTAAACTATTCCTAACTTCCTCACTCTCCGTCTTCACCGTGAGGTCATTTCCTGACTTTTCCGATGTGACTTTTGCTCATTTAATCACCGCCGCAAACCACTCTGCCCTTTTCTTCTTCTTCTCTTCGCTAATTAAAAAATTGACATTTAGTTTTCATTCTAATTGACAGACGAGTTCGTTTATTTAATACTGTTCTACTTAGTCTGACTGTCCCCAGGTCTGACTGTCCCCAGGTATGACTGTTCTCAAATCTGAATGTCCCCAGGTCTGACTGTCCCCAGTCTGATTGTCCCTAAGTCTGACTGTCCCCAGTCTGACTGTCCCCAGTCTGACTGTTCCCAGGTATGACTGTCCCCAGGTATGACTGTCCTCAAATCTGAATGTCCCCAGGTCTGACTGTCCCCAATCTGACTGTTCCCAGGTATGACTGTCCTAAAGTCTGACTGTCCCCAGGTCTCACTGTCCCCAGGTATGATTGTCCTCAAGTCTGAATATCCCCAGGTCTGACTGTCCCCAGTCTGACTGTCACCAATCTGACTGTTCCCAGGTATGACTGTCCCCAGGTATGACTGTCCTCAAGTCTGAATCTCCCCAGTCTGACTGTCCCTAGGTCTGACTCTCCTCAGTCTGACTGCCCCCGGTCTGACTGTCCCCAGGTCTGAATGTCCTCACTCTGACTGTCCCCAGGCATGACTGTCCCCAGGTATGATTGTCCTCAAGTCTGAATATCCCCAGGTCTGACTGTCCCCAGTCTGAATGTCCCTAGGTCTGACTGTCCCCAGTCTGACTGTCCCCAATCTTACTGTTCCCAGGTATGACTGTCCCCAGGTATGACTGTCCTCAAGTCTGAATCTCCCCGGTCTGACTGTCCCTAGGTCTGACTCTCCTCAGTCTGACTGTCCCCAGTTTGACTGTCCCTAAGTCTGACTGTCCCCAGTCTGACTGTTCCCAGGTATGACTGTCCTAAAGTCTGACTGTTCCCAGGTCTCACTGTCCTCAGTCTGACTGTCCCCAGGCATGACTGTCCCCAGGTATGATTGTCCTCAAGTCTGAATCTCCCCGGTCTGACTGTCCCTAGGTCTGACTGTCCCCAGTCTGACTGTTCCCAGGTATGACTGTCCCCAGGTATGACTGTCCTCAAGTCTGAATCTCCCCAGTCTGACTGTCCCTAGGTCTGACTCTCCTCAGTCTGACTGTCCCCAGTCTGACTGTCCCCAGGTCTGACTGTCCTCAGTCTGACTGTCCCCAGTCTGACTGTCTGACTGTGACTGTCCCCAGTCTGACTGTCCCTAGGTCTGACTCTCCTCAGTCTGACTGTCCCCAGTCTGACTGTCCCCAGTCTGACTGTTCCCAGGTCTGACTGTCCTCAGTCTGACTGTCCCCAGTTTGACTGTCCCTAAGTCTGACTGTCCCCAGTTTGACTGCCCCTAGGTCTGACCGTCCCCAGTTTGACTGTTCCCAGGTCTGACTGTCCTCAGTCTGACTGTCCCCAGTCTGACTGCCCCTAGGTCTGACCGTCCCCAGTCACTCCTCCAAAGACCACATGGTGGTCATCTCTGGACAGTCTTTCAGATCTGGACTCAGGTTTGACCACACAGTTGTTCCTGGACTACAGGTGAAGTGGACTGCTGTACTAGTGTAGGACAAATTAAACCAGGGTTGACATCACAGTCATAACGAGTGTCATTAGTGAGAGAGCTGTCATCAGGTTAATGCTCTGCCCTCCTCTAATCCCTCACACTTTAATAAACCAAGCAGTTGATCCTGTTGATCAGTCACCAACGGCCTAATGAAACACGCCTGTGTGTGTGTGTGAGTGTGAGTGTCACCTGGACTGTTTGTGGTTTTGCCTTTGGCTCTGAGAATCAGGGGCAGTTTTTCTTTCTATATAAAATATAATAATAACAATGACAATGATCTGCTCTTCACTTCTCGATCCAGGCCACGGCTGTTGTCAGGTCAGTCCACGGAGCCACAGCACAAACCTGGACCTGAAGTTTCAAAAAATATAATAATAACAATGACAATGATAATAATAATAATGATAATAATAATGATAATAACAATGATAATGATAATGATAATAACAATGATAATAATAATGATAATTATAATAACAATGATAATCATAATGATAATAACAATGACAATGATAATAATAATTATAATAACAATGACAATGATAATAATAATTATAATAACAATGACAATGATAATAATAATAATGATAATAATAATGATAATGATAATAACAATGATAATGATAATGATAATAACAATGATAATGATAATGATAATAACAATGATAATAACAATGATAATAACAATGATAATGATAATGATAATAACAATGATAATAATAATGATAATAATAATCAACTTTAGAAACTTAGACTTTAGAAAATAAGGATGTGGTCCAACCTAAGTGACAGAACTAAAACTAAAACTAAAACTAAAACAACCCTAACATATACAGTATATGTATGTATATGATTATAAATGATTAGACCAGATTAGACCAGATTAGATCAGACTGAAGTGGAGTAGAAGTTGGTGAATATTTCGGTCCAACGGTTCCAAACATTTTGTGCAGCACCGTTCTTTGGTGGAGCTCCACATCCAAGCATTAACAGCTGTCCCCAGAGGTGCCACGCCCCCACTTTGGGAACCACTGCTTAGTCAGAGATTTTTACATCATTTAAACAAATAATGGTCAAACTGGT